AAGCTGCACAAATAAGCTTTCCTTTGATGGATGTTTGTTAGGATATAGGACAATATTTGGCCGACAACTATTTTAAAATCTGTTGAAAAGTTTTTTTTTTTTTTTTTTTAGAAAATCGCCTTTAAAGTTGTCCAAGTTCTTAGCAATGGATAGGCCTATTACCTAATCAAAATGTAAGGTTTAATACATTTACGGTAGGAAATGCAATGTATTGTTGGCTATTTCTACATATATTCCAGTGCTAATTATGACTGGTTTTGTGGTCCAGGGACACATATAGCCTTTTGTTAACTGGAATACTTGGTCAGACTAGTTCTGAAGAGACAATTGTAGCGTGGATGTGTTTATATTAGTGCTGTCAAACGATTGATCGCGATTAATCGCATCCAAAATTAGTTTTTATTTACATAATATACGTGTGTATACTGTGTATATTTATTATGTATATGTAAATACAAACACATGCATGTATATATTTAAGAAAAATATGTTGTTTATATATTAAATATATTTTTATATAGGCCTAATATAAAATATAAGAATATAAATGTATATACATGTAAATATTTTCAAAATATATATTGTATGTGTGTGTATTTATATATACATTATAAATATACACCGTACACATACATATATTATGTAAACAAAAACGTTTATTTTGGATGTGATTAATCATTTGACAGCACTAGAACTGGCTCTAGGGTTAGTTATGATGGGGGAAGTTGTCACACGGGCTGAAGTGTGAACATTAGCCCCGGACTCCACTATGCCTATATGCTAAATTATTATCATATTCATATACCATGGTATTAAACCAGGGTTATTATAGTTTACTAAAACCACAACCTTTAAAAAAACACATTTTCATCACTTGAAATAAAAATGAACGTTAATTTGAAATAAAATAAAGTATTAAAAACCTAGTTTTTTCTTAAAATGTAATTAAATATAGCTTAACGGTTATCAAATTTATTTTAAAACTTGCAGTTTTATTTCAGATACCTGTATATTGATGTATACAGTTTTATATACAGTGTTTTGACATTTCTAACCATTTGAATGTGCATGAACGAATGATCTGTTAAAGTACCCATGAAATCAAAGTTAAAGTTTTTTGGGTGTTAGTATCAATATGTTAGTCTTAAGGTTATCTATAAGGCAGTGTGCTCCAAAACAGTGACAAAATTCACATTTAGAAGATATAAGCATTCAAAGCTTGCAGTTCGTCACTTTAGCCAAAATGGCTCAACGATTTTTTTGACGTCACATCGTACTTCAGCTTCTCATCAAACTTTCTGACCAATCAAATGCTCTCTAGAATCCGACGCGCCCGCCCCCTACACTATAAAATAGACGCTGAAGCCGCGGCTGAAATCGGTCACTTGTCCACAGAATTAGTATTTTCTGTACAGTGATTGGCACGTAGTGCACTATATAGGGAACAGGGAACGATTCCACCGCACACACACCCTGCTCCGGTCCAGAGACACGATAGCACGGAGCGGATCACATGCGCGAGTCGGCGCAGACCACAAAATGTATCATCATATACAACAACAATAGTAAGCTCTGCTCTCCCTGACTGTTTGAGGTCATGTTCAATGTCTGAGGGGCTTTGGTTAAGTGTCTTAGCCTCCGGCTTCACATCATTTGGCATTGGTTTCAATGCCATCTTCCCTTCACACATATCCTGACTGACACACACACACAAACACACTTCATTAGCTATACAGAGTCAATAGGTTGTTCTGAGATAACTGTACCTGCATGTATTCAGAATGGAAATATTGTTTGGGTTATTCCAAGAAAAGGGTGCCAATAAACAGCAGACACCAACATTTAATGTCTTATCATTAAACAGGTATTTTTTAATTTTGCCATATTTTTCCATGAAGATGGGATTTTTAAGCACACTTCAAAGCAAGTTTATTTAACTTGAGATTGCAGAATGTAATTTATTAACACTTAAAACATTCTTTGAATGAAGAAAGATACTTTAAAAAAACAAAAAAAGAGCATTACCTTTTCAAACAAGCTCCCATTTCATGGAATAACCAGATTATAGAAGTTTCTCTTTCGTTCTTGACAAATAACAATTCGACTTTTTTTTAAAGAATTTATTTCTGCCCACTTACCCAGCTGATTCCTCGAATCTGAGGTGTTGCCTTACTGGTACACCGATCTGGAAAGACTTGGTAATTATAGCTCCGAAAAAGATGCATGTTTCAGCCAGGTCCGATATATGAAAAATTATTTTACTTAAAGATCATCTGTTGCAGCAGCACATGTCGAAATCTACATGTCCAGTAAGGATTTGACAATCCCTGTTTAAGGACAACCGGACCTGCACGCTGCATTCCTGTGTGCGTGTGATCTCCAGCCTCCGAATGCCATTAAAACCTGCTGCTCGCTGTCAGACGTGCCACCGCCTTCTCACCGATCCAGCCGAGGCGCCGCCCCTCGCTCCCGCTCCCGCCTACTACACTAACCACTGCAACCAGCATCCGCATGGATTAGCCGCAGGTGATTGTTTACATTAAAATTGTAAAATCATATGTTACCCTGTTCCAAAAAAACAGTCATAAGGGTACATTTTTTGAAACTGAGATTTATACATAATCTGAAAGCTGCACAAATAAGCTTTCCTTTGATGGATGTTTGTTAGGATATAGGACAATATTTGGCCGACAACTATTTTAAAATCTGTTGAAAAGTTTTTTTTTTTTTTTTTTTTAGAAAATCGCCTTTAAAGTTGTCCAAGTTCTTAGCAATGGATAGGCCTATTACCTAATCAAAATGTAAGGTTTAATACATTTACGGTAGGAAATGCAATGTATTGTTGGCTATTTCTACATATATTCCAGTGCTAATTATGACTGGTTTTGTGGTCCAGGGACACATATAGCCTTTTGTTAACTGGAATACTTGGTCAGACTAGTTCTGAAGAGACAATTGTAGCGTGGATGTGTTTATATTAGTGCTGTCAAACGATTGATCGCGATTAATCGCATCCAAAATTAGTTTTTATTTACATAATATACGTGTGTATACTGTGTATATTTATTATGTATATGTAAATACAAACACATGCATGTATATATTTAAGAAAAATATGTTGTTTATATATTAAATATATTTTTATATAGGCCTAATATAAAATATAAGAATATAAATGTATATACATGTAAATATTTTCAAAATATATATTGTATGTGTGTGTATTTATATATACATTATAAATATACACCGTACACATACATATATTATGTAAACAAAAACGTTTATTTTGGATGTGATTAATCATTTGACAGCACTAGAACTGGCTCTAGGGTTAGTTATGATGGGGGAAGTTGTCACACGGGCTGAAGTGTGAACATTAGCCCCGGACTCCACTATGCCTATATGCTAAATTATTATCATATTCATATACCATGGTATTAAACCAGGGTTATTATAGTTTACTAAAACCACAACCTTTAAAAAAACACATTTTCATCACTTGAAATAAAAATGAACGTTAATTTGAAATAAAATAAAGTATTAAAAACCTAGTTTTTTCTTAAAATGTAATTAAATATAGCTTAACGGTTATCAAATTTATTTTAAAACTTGCAGTTTTATTTCAGATACCTGTATATTGATGTATACAGTTTTATATACAGTGTTTTGACATTTCTAACCATTTGAATGTGCATGAACGAATGATCTGTTAAAGTACCCATGAAATCAAAGTTAAAGTTTTTTGGGTGTTAGTATCAATATGTTAGTCTTAAGGTTATCTATAAGGCAGTGTGCTCCAAAACAGTGACAAAATTCACATTTAGAAGATATAAGCATTCAAAGCTTGCAGTTCGTCACTTTAGCCAAAATGGCTCAACGATTTTTTTGACGTCACATCGTACTTCAGCTTCTCATCAAACTTTCTGACCAATCAAATGCTCTCTAGAATCCGACGCGCCCGCCCCCTACACTATAAAATAGACGCTGAAGCCGCGGCTGAAATCGGTCACTTGTCCACAGAATTAGTATTTTCTGTACAGTGATTGGCACGTAGTGCACTATATAGGGAACAGGGAACGATTCCACCGCACACACACCCTGCTCCGGTCCAGAGACACGATAGCACGGAGTGGATCACAAAATGTATCGTAGCTATTTGAATTCTACACAGCATGCTATATTTTATTGCGATATGGATGAGATTGTGGCGGGCATACACTGTCAAGGCTTTACGGAGCTCAAGGGCTCTAGCCCAAGCTGTGATATAAACGAACGCTACTGGCTTTTTAAAAAAGGGGCGGGGCTGCTTGATATGTCCCGCCCTGTCTTCCTGTTTCAGTTAAAATGACGTCAACACATAGAGTAACGCTGCGTGTTTCTAAGCATTTCAGGGGACCTTTAAGCATAATAATATGTTGGGACAGCAATGAACATTATGAGATAAAGCAAAGGTTTTTAAGTGGAATAAAAACAGCATCTTATTCCGTTGTTTTGAAGGATTATTTCATCTTCCTCCAGAAAAGTAGAAATTTGCATAACAAAACTCTGCATCAAGCAGTAAAAGAACCGCTAGAGCAGGCAAAATATGTTTAGCTGGTGCGTTTAACACGGTCTCTCCTTCAGCGCTCTTATCTGTGTGTTCCAGCTGCATGATAAACCTTGAGGGGGTGAGGATCAGGGGGCGTGTCCATAACCCACCTTACTTACTAATGCAGGTGCCAAGGTTGGAGTGAAGGAGTAAATGAATAGGAAATTGCAGCACTGGCTAGGATAAAAATCCTTCTGACGTTTGAATAGTTATTTTACCCAACACCTTTTTAAATGAGTTTTGAATGTTTACATTCTAGTAAAATGGGTTTGCTTCAGTGTTTGATTTAGAGTTTGTGCATTAGAGAAGCATGAATTACCCCAGGCAGTGCAAAGAAAAAAGCAACTAATAGTTGAGTTCATATGTGCACACAGACATTGTTAAGGAAGTTATTTTTGACGTTCTGTACCTTTTTAAGGGACGAGCGCAGAGACGACCGGAGGACTGTGTCTTCTGAGCACATGATTGCTGGAGCCTCTGAGGAGACAAAAGTAAAGAAAGAGAGGAAGTCAGTACTGTTTGATTCAATCTGCTCTCCGTTTTACTGTTACATCATGTTATTTCCCATCTCATGCTTAATATTGTGAGATCTCATGACTCCCACAAAACCCAGTGGCTGGATATTGTGAACTCAGATAAATAGTATTGTGTTCTAGCTGTTTATTTCTATACTTGCAAGATGCTCCAAAGATAGAAACTCAAGCTCTTTTTCAAAATCTAGTGAGCTGCCTCACTGTCTAGCAGCTGCTCGTAACATCCTAACTCAAACAAACCTTAAAATGTTATTATTCATTAAATGATATTCAGTAAATGTATGTTTATATAATAAATAAATGAATAAATAATAAAACATTATATAAGATATTTCATATGTACTGTATATATCAGTGTTACCTTACATACACATAAAATTGAATAATTATTTAAATACAAGTAATAATTAAAATATTTATAAATATAACATTTATTTATATATTTAGAATATATTTGAAATAATATACCATGTATTTTAAAATAAATATATGCATAAACATATATATTTTTTATATTACTATATGTATTTTCCTTGTCCGCCATCAGGTTTTCAACAGGCTTGTCGCAGGCAGTCTATTCTTGGATTGCCTTATCCTTGATTATATGCAGTGCTGTCTTAGATTTGAGCTAAAACAGGTTATCTTAAAAGGCAGCCTATTTTGCTGCCTGTTATTTGGAGCAACACTGCCAAAAGATGCTGTCTAGGTGAACAGCTCACAAGGATTGGAACAGCACTTATATTAACCTTAGTGTCCCATGCTAACGATATTATTATTATTTACTAAAATGTATTATCTTTTTAAGGAATGAATGCCATTTACTTTAATGGGCAGTACTGTACAGTATGTCCTCCCCACCCACAGGCCACGTTGGGGACAATCTTAAGACATATCCCACCCTGAGAATGTCCATGTGGCTGGAGGTCAGGGAACATTACATAATACTTGTTTAGACCCCAGCTATTGTTTCAGGAGAGTGGGCTTCCCTTTCTGGAGGACTGAAGTATAACAACATTGAGTCACTTGACTGTTTTGGGGAGTTTTTCAGCCACTGCTGTTCCACTCAGTCCAAAATGCTGGAATAACAAGATCTGAATACAGTATGTTGCTGCTCTTTTACACTTGTATGTTAAAAATTACAGATTGGGGATCAAAACACGCAGCACAGCATAACAAACAGAAAAGCGGTTTTGTGTATACTTGCAATCCAAGCTGTAAACACCTTGATAAGTGTGTGTGAGGCCTCACAGATATGTCTTTTGGGCTAAATTAGTTAGAAGCAAAATTATGTGATAATGTGCTAAACTCCTAATGATTATGTTGTAACTAGGTGGTTGCAAAGAGTCCTTGAATTAGCAAATGTTTTTGGAAGCTTGTCCCTGTTTTGGCTCTGTTCACCTGCCTTCCTCCACAAGGGCCCCAGAAATATATCTCAACTGTTGTCCTCGGTTTATTATCTCTGTCAGCATCTCTCTCCAAAACAGAAACGACTGCTGAAGCAAAGCAGTCAGTGTTTCAACATGAGCACGACACAGCCTGCAGTTGCGTGAGTTGTAAATGTACAGTATGGTAACTTTAATGAATGGTACATTTTGAAGTCTCATGACTGAATGGATTTAGAGGCTCAAATCCCTTGAAATGAACCTAGCATGAAAAATATCTTGTTTTAAACATATTAAATGCATGCACTCCTTAAATAAAGATTTATATATATTTGGCCTGCACACATCAGAGGTCTTTTTTGACATTTAGAACCGTACAAAAACATAATTTTGACTTAATTTGTTGAACCGCACTCTTAAAAATAAAGGTGCTTCAAAAGGTTCTTCACAGCGATGCCATAGAAGAACCATTTCTGGTTCCACAAAGAACCATTCAGTCAAAGGTTCTTTAAAGAACCATCTCTTTCTTACCTTTTTATAATCTGAAGAACCTTCTTTCGCCACAAAGAACCTTTTGTGAAACAGAAAGGTTCTTCAGATGTTAAAGGTACTTTATGGCATCATGAAGCACCTTTATTTTTAAGAGTGTGATGTTCAATGTAGTAAAAGCATATAATGGTTGGTTAATTTTAATTAACAAAATGTAATATTTAGTCAAAATTGTCCCATATTTTGCTCCCTACTTTTCGTTTTCCCATTACAAAAATGTAAATAATCTTATTTTGACTTTTTTTCTTTCATTTACAGGAAATATAAACAAACCCCCAAACTATTCATTCATTTTATTTATTGTCATTTTGTAAAATGTTAAATGAAGATTACATAATCACACAAGTCAGAGATTTAAATGTCCTGAATTTTGGAGAAAAAAAATCTTTCTAAAAATGTCAAACCTCATATAAATTGAATAACTATTAAAACATTAAACAGCTTATATTATATTAGTTTGACCTCCTAAGGTTGATGATCAGCATTTTCTAAAGCTGAAGTGCCTTCTTTCACTGGATATTGAATCTTTTTTTTTTCTGGTTTGATTTTCAGGCCTTATTTTGTACCCTGCTTTTGGAAAGTGCCATACACGGTAGTATTCAAGCATGCATTTGTGTGCTCACAGGAACAACAGAGAATACAACGCTATGTGATTTGATGTTCACAAACTCTGATCATGAGTTCTAAAACTCGCAAAACAGGCATTCACTTCCAGAGAACAGTATTAGTTGTGTCTTACCGAATCTGTTTTTCTTCTTAGCAGACAAGATCTGTTTAAAGAACGAAAGCATTCTGCCATGTATATCCTCCATGTACGTCGTGCTCCACAGCAGCTAATGATATAAACCCTAAGGCCCAGCGATGCAAATTAAAGTAAGAAGATCCACAATTGCTCCTTTTAGCTGTGTGCCTGACTGCTTGTCTGAATATGTGAAAGTGTATTCCTGTATGTTTATGTGTGTGTGTGTGTCAGTGGTTGGCTATGACAGAACTCAGAAATCCAGTTCTCCTGCATGTGACCCTCACAAGGCACTTGAACGTGTAGTTTGTATCAGATGAGAAGCACTCGTTTAACTCAGATCAGATAGCAAGAGACACTTTGTCTGCCACTTTTTTCGACGGTCAGCATGTGTCTGTGTGCAGTGTAGATGTAAAGATGTAGATGCCTTTTAAGATATGTACTTGCTACATTGAGAACATTTTAAACACGATATTTTAGATTAAGATCAACTCACATAGACAATAATCTATTAAGTCCCAGACAGTTAACCTATTGGACAGCTGGAAGATCTGTTTTGCAAAGCCTTATACTTAATTACCTACAAAATATAATCGCAGTGGAATAATTTATTGTATCCCTTAAATATCCTATTGTTTTTGTGTACTATTTTGTGTCATTTGTACTGTTGCCTGTTTTGGCCAGGACACTCTTGTAAAAGAGATTTTATTGGTTAAAGGCTGAATAATTTAAATAATTTTTTATAATTATATTTATATGTTAATAATTATAATTTATTCAATTTATTTTAAGATATATAAAATATATAGAAATAAGTACATGTATTAATTTTATTTACACAACCTGCGTGTGTGTCAAGTCAGAGGAGGAGGGGCCGGGTGAAAAAAACCCTCTACAATATTTTGAATTTACATACAGCACCTTTAAAAAGTCACCTGTGCTTAATTAAAAAAAAAATAATACATTAAACTAGATTTAGGGTGGATTTAGATATTTTCAACAGTTTTGTATGTCAGGCAAACAATTTTAAAAGTAGCATTTACAATTTTAGGTGTCGTTCATGTTGCTAGCATGAAAGAATTTGTTATTGGCCAAAGTTTCATATTTAGGGTTAGGGTTAGTTTGTTCAAATCCATAACCCAAACGATGAGCAGTAGTGCTGCTTGACTTAGTTTGCCCTCTAGTGTGCATTTATAGCTATTACATTTTGTGACTGTTTTATAGTATGCTCCAAAAATCTTAGTACTTTACACTTCCATAAAGTATCCAGAAAGTTCACAAATAACTAGTTTTAACTGGCAGACCAGTGCTACATTTCTAGAAAAGAAAAATCACATCACAGAGATTAAAATACAGCGAGAAAACAAGCACACAGTTCCTTTGGGAAAGGGTGTAGGACTTCCTGCAACAAATCACAGCCTTTTGCAATCAATCTTCAACTCCCCGTAGATTCCCAATGCAACACAATTTTAAATGAAACAAAAATCACACAGATTCCATTCCAGTTAACGGGACATTAATGTGTGTGATTTTTGTTTCACATATGCACACGAAGACTGTTTTCCATCCCTTTGTAATTCCAGAACACTATGTGATTTTACATGCTCATAAATCCTGTCATTCCAAATCAGCTTTTCCTTCCCATACCAACTGAGCGCCTGCTTCTTAGAAAGAGGATCTCTGTTGCCCATGGAGGAAGGAAATATTGTTTATATTGGAAGTCCAGTGAAATATGAAGTGATGAAAACACACGGAGGGAGATGGTGAAAAGAGAGAGATGTTTTAAATGCACACCTCCTCACCCACATCTAATCATGTGTGACTTCCTGTTTTCTATTTGGGGTCTTCTGTAAATTCACAGCTCACCTTCTTGCGCTCGCTTGTCACCCAGCAGTCTCTTAAGTCTCTTTCCCAGCATCATGATGAATCACAGGCCCCGCAGAATTTCCCAAAGTTATTTGACAATTTTTGAGCATTTAAAAAAAAAAAAAAAAAATTGGGTACATTCATGGGCACCATTGGCAATAAATAGGTTATTTTCATTGCCATTGAAGTGAAATAACTGAACATAAACAAACATAGGAGCCTGAGAAAAATGCTAATTAATTTTAGAAGAAAATTTCAAATGGCACTTAGAGGCTTTTGCATCTGAACTCTTCTCATATATATATATATATATATATATATACATAAATAAAACGGCAAGCAAGACAATAAATTAAACATTTAAATTTTAAAATAGTGATGAAAACACACGGAGGGAGATGGTGAAAAGAGAGAGATGTTTTAAATGCACACCTCCTCACCCACATCTAATCATGTGTGACTTCCTGTCTTCTATTTGGGGTCTTCTGTAAATTCACAGCTCACCTTCTTGCGCTCGCTTGTCACCCAGCAGTCTCTTAAGTCTCTTTCCCAGCATCATGATGAATCACAGGCCCCGCAGAATTTCCCAAAGTTATTTGAGAATTTTTGAGCATTTAAAAAAAATAAAAAATAAAAAAGGGTACATCCATGGGCACCATTTTAGGCAATGTGTTAAAACAGTTACTTAGAGGCTTTTGCATCTGAACTCTTCTCATATATATATATATATATATAAGAATTTATAATTTAATTTTAATTACTAAATTGCTAAATATAGAAATAAATGTATTAATTTAATTAATGTATTTATTAATCAATATAATTGTAATGGATATTTTATTACAGTATTTTAAAATATTTGTATTATTATTATTAAACATGACATTTTGAAGTAGAAAAACTGAAATAGTATTTTCTTGTAAAATGTATTCCAATAATCTTTGTTATATACTTGTAATATTTACAGTGAAATACAATCTGCCTTTTTTTTATCAACACTGTCAGTTACCTTAAAATGTGTCGTGGTACATATTTAAATGATTTTGATGCAGATTTTGTTCAGAAGTATTCAAAAATTCTAATTATCTAATGAAATTATTACTAGTTATATAATTAAAGTAATTTTTCAGGGTCAGATAAAGCTACACTTATTACACAAGGTAAATGTGGTTGCATCTGTTGGTGATAGATTCCATAAACACACTTACTGTACCAGTATGTCTGGTCCGTCTGTAGATGATGTTGGCAGTGTTTTCTTTTTTTTTCCAAATAGTTTTCTTCAGTGCCAATCAGGACAGTCTTGTCTTTCTTGTCTTCAAGGCGAGCGTCTTGTGAAGTATCGATCTTTGTATGACTTTTTCATTCTCTTTATCACTCACTCGATCTCTTTATGTCTGTTTGTGTTGTCTGTGAAGCATACAGAGGAAACCACCGAGTGTTGATCTAATTTGAATTGCTGAAGCCACCGAGTTACCGGCTTCCTGCCGCACTCTGATTGGTGACACAAAATGTGGCTTTGTGTTCATTTCATGAAGGCTGACCTATGAAGGTGTGTCTTGAAGCTTGATGACACTTGTTGTCTTCCATTTCCTTGAATTACATTAAAACCCATAGTATTCCGGTTCTCAACAGTGACCGGGGGAAATGGGGCCAAAGTACATCTGTGGCCTCTTGATTTGGTTCAGTCCTCTCTGGCCTTTCATTCTGTTTACATGGGCATCAGCATCTGTCTGGCCAAAGATGTGTGCTCATGCTTAATCAATGCTACTTGAGATCATCATTTTGAATGCATACCTCCAATTTTTGTGCTGTTTATACAGTTATAACATCATGCTGTCATACACCTTTTACATGATCACATTTTGTATTCATAAATTAATAATGAATAATTAATTGTATTTGATGTAGTTGTAATTTATATATAATACCCAAAGGCATGGCATTTGTTGCTTGTGTATTCATGTGCTAAGGACAATAAAGCGAATAGGTTGCAAGGAACAATTAGTGAATGATGTCAGCCTGATCAATTTTGGGTGTAGCATTTCTTCTATTCTGTTATGGAATTGCATGCATGATCTGCTCCCGCCAGTTTTTACCACCTACACTACCAGTCAAAGGCTTTTGAACAGTACGATTTGTAATGTTTTTTTAAAGAAGTCTCTTCTGCTCACCAAGCCTGCATTTATTTGATCCAGAGTACAGCAAAATCACATTTTGAAATATTTTTACTATGTAAAATAACTGTTTTGAATATATTTTAAAATGTAATTTATGTGATTTCCAAGCTGAATTCTTAGCATCATTAATCCAGTCACACGATCCTTCAGAAATCATTCTAATATTCTGATTTGCTGCTAGAAAAAACATTATTATTACGTTGAAAACAGCGGAGTAGAATTTTTTTCAGGGTTCTTTGATGAATAGAACGTTCAGAAGAACAGCATTTATCTGAAATAGAATTTTTTTGGTACGATTATGCCTTTATCATCCCTTTTGATCAATTTAAAGCATTCTTGCTAAATAAAAGTATTAATTTCTATAACTTAAATTAATGTTTTATTTATTAATAAGTAAATACATTTTTTGTTCAAAAATAATACTTACTAAAGAACCTCTAAACAACCTTTTTATTTCAGATAAATGCTGATCTTTGGATCTTTCTATTCATCAAAGAATCCAGAAAGAAATGTACTCATCTGTTTTATATATTGTTTTGCTTTTAAATTGTATGTTTCTTGAGCAGCAAATCAGCATATTAGAATGATTTCTGAAGGATCATGTGACACTGAAGACTGGAGGAATGATGCTGAAAATGTAGCTTTGATCACAGGAATAAATTACATTTTAAATATATATTCAAATAGAAAACAGTTATTTTAAATTGTAAAAATATTTCACAATATTACTGATTTTGCAAATAAATGCAGACTTGTAAAATAAATAGTATATGATAATTAATATTTAAATAATGAATTTTTTTTCAAACTAATTAAATAAGCAGTTTTTGTGTACTCCTTTTGATTAAACTTCCTCTCTCCCAAAACTTTGCACTCAAGATTTTGAAATTGTAAATGAAACCGATTATTGGAGTAAGAAAGTACTTTCCAGTTTTTCTATTTAAAATGTTTACGTTTAATTCCAAGTGTTACATGAAAATCTATAAAAAAAACCTTGGCAAAATGTACTGTATTAATATTAAGGAATTTTCCATATTCATATTTTACAGGTGTTTTATGTGAGTGAAGTGACATGTGGCCAAGTATGGTGACCCATACTCGGATTTTGCAAATAAATGCAGACTTGGTGGGCAGAAGATAATTCTTTATTCTTTAACATTAAAAGTCTTACTGTTGAAAAAAAGCTTTTGACTGGTAGTGTACATTTGCAATTGAGAAGATGCTTTTTTTTGTTTCATAATCACTGTAGAGCTGTGAGAATGAGTTTGACAGGTAGATGGAAAACCACTGAGCAAAGATCAAACAGACTAAAACCACCATCTTCAGTGCTGCACAAACAACAAGAGAAACATGTGACATTATGTGTGTCACCTCTAAATGTTTACACACTTTTCCACACTTTTAGATTATTACTTTTTGTTTGTTCAGGCTGGTCGATTTATTTATACATACATTTAAACATTGACAACCAAAAAATATATATATATATTGCATTCCTATTTCATATTTGATGTATTTCCATTGATTTTTGCAATCTTCAATCAAACTTTATGCCCAATTTATACTGTAATTATTTACAATAAATAATGTGTGTTTAATTAGCATATACACTCATTAAATTCCCAGCAATGAACGCACATTTAATGCTAAATTCGTTTTTTGGAGCACACTGCGATTAGCCACTGCTGACATGATGGAAATGACAGTAGTTATGAGTTATTCTATGAAATGCGAACCATTTATTTTCACAACATTTAAAGTACACAAATACAAGTATTTTGAAAGCCTATATATATATATATAATTCAATAAAACAAACTAAATTAATAACATACAAATGATTCTGTTATGTTTCGCACATATTTAGTTGCCTTTTTACATATCCATATAGTAATAAAACGTTTAGTTCAACTGTTGAATCAGCCGCGACTGTGAGGTTGTTGATTGTTGCTATGGTGATACCGGGGAGCTCTTCCGGGTCGTGCGGTCGTGTTTACGAATAAGCAGCGCTGCGTTACATAATCTCTCGTCGATGGTGTACTCCTTCGCTTCAGCCTCTTGTTACAGCTTTACTGCGGTACTTTAGACATTATTAATGGGTCCAAACAGGATCTACATCAGTGTGGGTTATGCCACGGTCGGCATGTTGGTGGGATTTTCGGCGTTTATCGCGTGGAATGTGGTTTATAAACAGCCTTGGACTGCGGCGATGGGCGGATTATCAGGTCTGTAAATAAACTCAAGGCCACAGACTAACTTCTTTACACGTCCGCTGTCAAACATGGACATTTCTCATCCTGTTTCTTTTACTGTCATGCTTTTTAATTCGTTGCTATTATTGTGTGATCTCGCGGTTGAAATCTCCGGCTGTCACAGTCTGTATGCAGTGTGTGGTTTGTTATTCCAATAGAGATATGATGGGTGATTATTTCATTTCTTTCTTAAAAGGATCAGTCTGTCATCTTCTTAAAATGCCTTTGGAAATAATCACCCATAAATATGGAGATTCTTTCTACTCCGAGAAAGAAAGAAACATAAATGCACTCCACATATATATAATTTATTTATTTCCAAATAATCTCTATCTATCTATCTATCTATCTATCTATCTATCTATCTATGTGCATTTTGAATTTTGCTCTTCATTGCATTGCGTTTTAGGGTCACCGTAAATGTCCATAAACTTATTAGTTAATATCAGAAAAATACCAGTACATTTTCCATTTATTTCATTCTGTGTTTTTTTCTATGTGTATATGTTATGGGTTTAAATCTCCAGGAGTTCTGGCACTCTGGGCATTGGTCACCCACATTATGTACATTCAGGACTACTGGCGCACATGGCTGAAGGGACTCAAGTTCTTCATGTTTGTTAGTTCGGTCTTCTCCCTCCTGGCTATTGCTGCTTTTGCCACCTTCATAGCTTTAGCTGTTATAGAAAAGCAGTGTAAGTACCTTCACATGGACAGCTTTGTCTAATAAAACATTCCACACAAGATCTGTATAATATGCATGTTTTAAGTGTCTGTAATCCATTCTGTATGTTTTTGTCTTCAGCAATAACTGACCCCAAGAGCTTCTATCTATCTGCCGTGTGGAGCTTCATGACTCTTAAATGGGCCTTCCTGCTGGGCATGTACTCCTACCGTTACCGCCAGGAGTTTGCTGACATCAGCATCCTCAGTGACTTTTGATTGGCTCCTTCATCTGTAATAGATTTGTAGTTGCCAGTCTGTGGCTTCACCTGCCAATGTGGAGATGGATGGAAGGATGGATCTCCTTTTTAAAACCGTCTTACAGCCTCCTTGCTCTCACAGAAAAGACTCAAATCTCAGTCCTCCTTCCCTCAGATCCGGGCCCTGGAGTTAGAAGTCAGTGAATGTCTGTGATCTGCCTCTTTCCTGTCTTTTTGAGTTAATTGGAGGTTTTACATTGACACTGGACAAAGGTATGTCAAGTGTTTCAAAGGAAGTGGATACACTAGGATGTGGTCACAGGTAGTTGTTACTTTACTCAGGGCAACTTCTCTCCAAATGTCAGATGTGAAATGAAGGCTTTCCTTCACTGTCAGAAAAAAGTGCAAAAATTGTACATTGTCATTGGGGCAGTAGACCTTGTCTTTATCCCTTTATAAGGGTGCATATTTGTTCCTTAGAGTGCTGATGAAATGCATTCTTAGGGTACCACTATAAACCATTTTTGGAGAACGTGGTCCAAAAGGCTCACTTTGAAGAGACTGCTGTAGTGACAAGGTACAATTTGTGCACTTTTTTTTTTCCTTCTAAGAGTATTGAATGAGTGTATGATGAAGGATTTGCACAGCTTTATCTAGTGATCTCAGCCAGCGATGGTGGAATTGACTGATTTAATGTTACTATCGTTTTCAGACATAGTGCTCTTTATTATTTGCCATTGCAATTGTTATTTCCTTTTAAATGTTGTTTATACTGAGTTCTATTAATGATTGGCTGTGTTCGGAACTGCATACTACCATACTAGTAATTCTGCAGTATGTAAACTCGCATTTAAAAGTTAAGGTAAGGTTTTTTTTAAATCTATGAAAGAAGTCTCTTATGTTCACCAAGGCTGCATTTATTTGGTGTTTGAGCGTGTTTGAACGGCTCACCAGCAGGGGGCAGCAGTTCAATAATATTCTTTTACTAGATTACTACCGCTTCAACGTGAATCTGCTGCTGTAAGTCGGGTTTTTTGTTTTGTTTTTGTTTTTACCTTGAAATATCAGTTTAAAAACGATATTGATGGTACTCTGACCTTTAATAACTAATAAAAACGAATGGCTTCTTTTTCCTTCCCACTCTCACCACATACAGGTAGTCTGTTCTTTATTTACGACAGTGTATTCCACACACTTAAAGGGATAGTTCACCCAAAAATGAAAATTCTGTCATCATTTACTCACCCTCATGTCGTTCCAACCCTGTATGAGTTGCTTTCTTACGTTGAACACATAAGAGACGTCTTTCAAAAACAATAAAAAAAAACGAACCTTACCAACCCCAAACACTTTTGAACAGTAGTGTATATTAATATCTAACGTAGATATTGCTGATGCTGCTCAGTCATCTGTGCTTTGGATCTATAGCAAACATAACAGATTCTTGTGACACATACCACAAAATAATATATAACATAAAATAGCTCTACATGTAAGACAAGCATTTACAGGTGCATCTCAATAAATTAGAATGTCTTGGAAAAGTTCATTTATTTCAGTAATTCATGTGTGATCATACTACAGTATTTTAGTCTTTTACACACACTTTATTTAAAATAATATGTAAAAATGTGTTCATAAAAATATGTAACTTTCCCCAGAAATCCAACTTTGAAGATTTTGCTTGGCTTGGAAGTCAAATCATCAAGGTACAAAAAAAAATCATAATTATTTTTACCACTTTTTTTTGGTTTACATGTAATTATCAATGAGGAGAATATCTGAAAATTCATTAAAATGTATGCCATGACAGTGTATTGACAGTATAGTTACACTATATTGACATTGCACATTTTGGCACCACCTGACTAACTACATTTGCTGTTGTTTAGGTTGGAGCTGATGTCTGCTAATGAGGCCGGTGTTGAGGCTTTTGTTCAAACGGTATTGACATACTTAAAGGACAAGAGTTTAGATGGTCTAGATGTGACTTGGCTGGATGGCCCTTCTTCTGCTGAATCTAGCAGAACCATAGAGCTATTCACAAATTTTCTGAAGGTAAGGACTGTTATTTTCAGGCTTTAATAAAAACAAAGTGTATTTTTATTACAAGCTTCCATTTTGTCTGTAGCGTCTAAAAGGCGCGTTTGAAGAAGAAACCCAGCCTCTACTTCTGTCAGTGTCTGTACTAGAGCCTGTTGACCACAGTGCAGTCACTTATAATGAGCGAACACTTTCACAGTGAGTCTCGTTCCTACGCACTATTCATATTGCACTTGCTGTGCTCAGTTATTTTATGTACTTAATAGTATCTTTCCTTTCAAAAGGTATGTGGACTTCATCTCCATTCTGCCTGCTCACCTCAAAAAGGATGGACCATACATTGTAAACGACTCAAATTTCTTACAGTTTTTTGAGACAGGCTTTTATTTGCTGGCTTTGAAATTCATTGAGTGCCTCAAGGATGACATATTTTTGGATGTTAGCATCACCCTGGTTCACTCGACAAAGATCCAATAGAATTTTTCCACTGGCTTTTGGATTACTGCAGAAAATAAGCTCTGTGACCAACAAAAGTTTCGGATTCTTACATGCTTTGTTCATTATTGTAATCTTCACAAATGAACAGAACTTTTATGGATTTTGCAGCCCAAATACAATCACCAGAAGTAAAAAACAAAATGCAGCCCACATAATGTGATTAGATTTAGTATTCCTTTGTCTTTTGATGGTCCAGGAATAACGCAACTTCCAAAGAGGATAAATGATTGGTCTGTAGAACTTTTGTAGCATCTATAATTCTTGAGATCTTCATATGAATATATTCCAGAACCAGCAAGGATATAGACCCGTCATATTTGGGTAAATCATATTTATCTGTTAGCATGTTAGCATTCTGGGTTTACCTCATATTTCTTTTCCTTGACAGGACAAAACAGTCCAACACTGGCAGGACCAGCAAGTTGACCTGCAAAAGCTCAATCTAGCCATGCCTGCTTTTCAACGCTGGTCACGTCGAAGGCATCACCACAGGGATCACCTCGAGCATGATGACATGAATACAGAGACAGGAAGGAAGGATCACATCCACGTTTTGGGCTTATACCTGGGCGATCAGGTAGGCTATAATCGCAGACAGTATTAGCTTAGCATTAATTATTAGCTTCCTCAGGGAGAGCTTAGGCGAAATTGTTTAATCAACTGAAACGCTTATCCTTTCAGGTGTGTCAGGCCATTAAAAGTGGACAGGAGCGGTTCATTACTTTAACAAGTCTCTCAAATGAGCAAAGTCTTGTAGCAGAGGTGAGTGAAGTGTAGTTTTAAAGCAGTAACATAATGTAGAAATGAAAACTACTAGATGGATAATCAGAAGATGATGTTGCATTTATTAATGTCCAGGTGCTCCAGAAAGGCTTTGGTGGCATAGGAGTTGTCTTCATAGATCTGGATGTCTTCTATAACTCCATGTGTGCAAACGTTACTCAGGAAGAAGGAGCGATGGTTGAATCAAAGGTGATTCTGCATTCACATCATGAACACAGACGTCATGAGCATGGTGGTCATCATCACAGGAGGATCCATCACCACAGCCGCCACCAGCATCATCACTCTCATCTTCCTTACGGCAGCCATGGTCACCGTCACCGTCACCATGGACGCCATCAACATGGCCATCGTCACCATGGTCACCGTCATCACCATCAGCATCATCCAATAATTCCTCAAAGCAACATAACCCTGGAAGAACACCAGGGCATGGAGTGAACTTAATACATAATTTGCATATGATGAATGTTAATGAGAGACCTGCTTATAGAAATATATATATATATATATATATACATAATTTTCCACACAAAATTCTCATTAACCTTAATATCTATCTATCTATCGATCTATCGATCTATCTATCTATCTATCTATCTATCTATCTATCTATCTATCTATCTATCTATTTGCGCTCCCTCCCGCCACCGCCACCGCGCTCCTCAGATACGAGTCCCACAGTTCTTCAGCTCTGACATCAAACATCAGGCTGGAGCGCTTCTCTCAGACCTCAAACCCATCTCACGCTCTCGGTTAAAACTGAGGGTAATATTCAGGATCTGGAATCCAGAGCACATTTTACCTCTGAAAAGCCGTCAAGTCTGGCTGCAGCTGTGACTAATGCATTTGGAAGCTGAAAATTTGATACAAAGAATACAGAATTAAATATTTCCAGCAAACCCATTTACGATATTCATATCTGCACCTCTGAAAGGGAAAGGGCCTCTGTCGGAATCGACGTGAAATGCGACACGGCGACTCACTTTGTTTTTGGCGGCGGGTGATTTAGCGGATTGTTTTCTCTGGGCTTGATAAAACATATTTACATCGGAGCGTTCTCCTGTTTGCTGTTCAAATAAAGCTTCTGCCGTGGTCATCCAAGACGGAATTGGATGAGGCTGTTGTCGAACGGGGCAGAGCGAAGTTCCGCCATCTGTCTCTTCCAGTTATTTTACGGCCTCAGATTTGATCCCCTGAGTTGGCCAAAGCTAATTACATTGGACAAACCATATCCATATCTAAATACTCACAGCGGATTGCTTTCCATTATTGGCATGCCAGACAGGCAGAAAAGCTTCTATCAACACCGAGGGAAAGGGAAAAGGATTTCAAACCTGGACATGTGGATGCCGGAAAGGCCCAACTGCTGTCGTCCTGACATGAGACACACAGTAGACCTGTTAAATGTCAAACGTCTGACTGTATATAAACAGCTCCCAAACCTTTTGACCAATGCTTTTCCATGATTTTGGATAACTGGATAAAGATTTCAAAAAGAGCTGTGTAGAACTTAAAAATATAAGTTTACTAGAGGAATTATATGTTATAAAAATAATTTATTCATCTAAAAAAAATGTACATTATAATACAAAAATTATTTTGTATCAAATTAATACAAACACATATAATATATATATATAATAAAATAAATGTAGCAAATAAAATAAATATACTACTAAAATCTAAAAAATAATATAATATTATACATAATATAATTATAATGATATACAAACACAATTATATTAAATAATATGAACAATGAAGAATTAATGCAAACACTTATAACACATAAATACAAATATTATATAATAAATAATACCATGTTATTATATAATATTAAAATAATGATATAATATGACATTAACACAATATATATATATACACACACATATATATATATATATATATACATAATTTTATAATTTTCCTTCTCATTAACCTTAATATCTATCTATCTATCGATCTATCTATCTATCTATCTATCTATCTATCTATCTATCTATCTATCTATTTGTATTTTATGTCTTTAATATTAAACAATAAATTTTCCAAAAATTCTCATTACTTTAATATACTTTAATGTATTCAAATATTTGATTCCTATTTTGTCTTTGATTCCTATTTTTGTCAAATCATAATATAATAACTGTGGTTGTAATGTTAAAAATGTTGGTAAATAATAATTAGTTTACAATTTATAATTTTTTTTGCATTACAGTAAATTACAGTAATGAGAATGACATGTTTTGCATTATAGGGATGACAATGACAATTGTAATAGTGCAAAAAATAATATTTTGTTCTGCATTATAGTACTGAGAATTAGATTTTTTGCATTACAGTTATTTGACTAATTTTGTTTTGCACTATGCTAATGAGATTTTTTTTGCATTAAGTTTTCATGCTTTTACGAACTAGTGTTTTTAATAATTGCTTATTGCAAAAAAGAAGCTTATTGTATATCAGAGCAGATCAATGCAGCATTATGAAATAAATATGTAGCATAAAAGTCTCAGTGATTTCACATTCTTCTCTTGAACAGAAATGCAAAGCTGTGAGAGATCAATTTAAGTGCTTGTGCATGTGGATGTTCCTCAGCATCTGTGTTCATTAAGCTCTAAGCTAATTGTATGACCGAAATTATGATTTCACCAAAAACGGGCCTGGATGAAGCACTCCACAGACTGAGCCTCTGGAGGGCGACTGGCTTCTGTGTTCAGGATGGCAGGTGTAGGCATAGCTGGCCCAATGGCGGCGAGATCTGCTTTGCTTTATGCATGAGTAGATTTATGAGGCTATTACTTGGACGTCCTGGGCTATAACACACACACACACACACACCTGGTTCTTCAGATTCCTGTGGCTCAGAAGAGCAGTGGCACAGTGGGTGTGCACAAGGATCCTGCTGTTTTAGGCTTTAATTGGGAGCATTTGGAGATGCAGGTAAATTACAGGCTGTTGTCTCCTCGTGTGAGAACACTTCCTTAATGTCAGCTCAGCATCACAAGCTGATGAGCGTCATTTAGTATCTTTAGAGAAGGATGTATTTGTGTTGATGCACATTGCACTTTTTTAGTGTGATATAGATTTACTTTAAGTAGATTTTAGTGGTAAATCTACACAATTTGAGTTTAAATTAGAACTTTTGAATTTGAATGATATAAAAAAAAACATTTCAGTTCAGTTTTCTCCAATAAAAACTGATGTTAAGTATTTAGCAGCATCTTAATATGACCACAACTCATAAAGAACATCTTAACTTTTCTTCTTTATTTTATTATTTTATTTTAATGAAGATGGTGTCAATATCAACTCCACTTGATATTCAGTGTCTGTATTTACCACTAATCAGACAAAATCAATAGACTGAAGCATTAAATCATTTTAAAATAATTAATTTAAATGTAAATTTCCCATATTCAGTTTGTTGCAAAAAAAAAATCACAATACTAATATTTGAACAGCCTCTTCTCTATACTTTGACCATTGCAATTTTCCTTTTTAAAATTTTTTTTTTATTTTTTACAATTGTTAACAAACGGGCAGCAAACAAACAAATAAATAAATATAAAAGGGAAAATTGTTCTTTTAAAATTATTTAATATTATTATATTAATTACATATTCAGCTTTTTGTGCACATTTTTTATGCCTTAAAAAAATAATAGCAAATAAATGCATATCAGCTAAAGGGGACAAGAGATTTTTAATTTCAAAAATAAATATATTTAAATGTGCAAAACAATACACAGTATTGTCAAGCCATGTAATATTATTTCATAAACTGTTATAAATGATGCCTTTTATTAGGAGTTTCTTGACTATTTAACTTTTTTATGAGTGAAAAATAACATGTTTTTGAGAATAACCCTGCGATGCAGAATGCTTTTAAGATAGTTTAATGCCAATTATTCCCCTTCATTTCACTCATGTGCATGACATTTGACTCTAAAAGTCTTTTAAAAACTTACAAAATTATTAAAAATCCATGCGTGAGCCATATCCCACTTTGGGCAGCTATTAAATTAAAGTTTCTGCTAGGACACTGTGAAATAGAAGCGGGCAACAATTCCTGAACCATTTGTCCATTTTCTGATATACACAAGATAACTGTCATTTGGAGGGCACTTTTGGTTAGTGACATTTAGATGAAGATACATGCCCAATTTAATAGTGTCTTTGAGTGTCTGAAGTGTATTAATCTATAAAACTGGTACTCAAGGCTGAAAACAAACTAACAGCACTGAGATATGTTCCTCTCTGTCCTTTCATTAAAATGGAAATTCCAATTTGCAGCATCCTAACAAGCAGCTGACCATTACAGCATAAATAAACCACTTCAATTTAGCCAGACTTAGATGACACACAGACATATCCAACAACCTATGGACAGTGATCAACTAGTGTGATTAATCTTACAGATCTTCTGCTGACACAGTCTATTGTTTGCCTTAATGAACAAGTTTACAGAATATGGTGCTATAAATCTCTGGCCAGCCGCTGGCCATTACAAACCGACTCTGGACATTCACTGTTGGCTAACATTATAATTTATGTTGTCCATTGTCTCACTCGGCTGGTCTGATTGCAAATAAATGTTCCATGAATGGTATTGGTAATTAATTTAGGCGTAAAACTGCAAAGCCTCTGCATTTGGCAAGAGGATGCTTAATTACTTAAAGTCCACTTGAGCAACTGGGCTATGCATCATGTAGTACACAGTTAATTCTGTTGTCTGTTTGCTCCAATGTGAGAAATGAAATTCTGTGAGAAAAAGGATTTATCTGTAGCGCTATAGGCACAATGAAGAAGATGTAAGTGCAAAAGCCACCATCACTGGGTGTTTTTTGTGCAGATGGTAAGGCGTTTAGCATGTTGTGTGTTTGCTAGGTCAAAAAAGATTACTTCAGTGTAAGTCTGAGGGATTCTTCATCTATTTTATTGTCTACCAGGGGACAATTAATGCTAATCACTCACTAAAATCACACCACCCCTCATTAAGCTGCATGGTTTTCATCGTGTTTGTAGCACAAGTTTGGTTACAGGATCTCTTTAAACTAGGTCAGTCTATGCAACAGCCGTCTTGAAAACACCACTATAATGTTTCTAGTCATGCAACTACAGTTCCAGTCTAGTTGAATGGTGAAAATTTAATGTTCTATATACGCTACTGTTTTTGAAAGCATCTCTTATGCTCATAATGCCTATTTATTTGATCAAAAATACACTAGAAACTGTAATATTGAATTATAATTAGAAAGTTAAGTAAAAATGGGCATGTGATATAAAAGTCTTATGTAACATTATAACAGACTACCGAAATAAGTTATATAAAAAACATACCCCAAACGTTTGAACAGTATAGAGCTTATACTTCAAATTAGTAATAAAATTTAACACAAATAATAACATTAATAATAATAATAATTTATTTTGTTTTACTTTATTTGATGTTATTATTCTTTTTTATTATGTTATTATATTATTTTTGTTCAAATCATTTAAAAATGTTTTTCAGGCTAGTTCAGCTCTAATATTCTCTAATTCATTTATTCAGTGTTAAAATTATAAGCAATAGTAATAGTGATATTTGATTTAGAATGCACTACTAACGAGGCTAAAATGTATTCATTTCAAAGTTTATTCCTAAAATTGTGAAATAAAAGTTTCAATTTCATAAAATAAAATAAAATAAAATAAAATAAAATAAAATAAAATAAAATAAAATAAAATAAAATAAAATAAAATAAAAGCATCTCTAAAATATTTATTTATTGGCCAAATTATGGAACAATAATAATAGTGATTTTTAGACTTTGATTGCACTGCTAATGAGGCTAAAAGTAGGCCAACATTGAATAATTTCAGTTTACTACTAAAATGGCCATATGTGAGAGTTACAACATGCTTTGTTATTTTACACCCTTCATAACTACAGAGTTGTAATCCACTTACTCATAATGAATTCTCTGTGAAGTGCCATCTGCCGGATTATGCACAGTGTCTCTGCCTTGACCTTTGTGTAATCGTTCAACAATAACAAACCCTTTCAGCTTCTAAAAAACCACGGTAAGACAAATCCCTCAGAAAATAACCCGTCGTCAGAGAAAGAAGAGCTGGCTAAGAGCCTATGTGTCGTTTTTCTCAGTTGAGCTGAAAGGATTGGCAGCATTGTTCATGAAATTCAGATGTTAGGGTTATCATCTTCTAATTAAAGCAGACAGTGGACCGGGCTTTGTTCAGGAGCCGGACAGAAATTTAAACGGACTGTGTAAAGCTGTAAAGAGGCTCCCGAGGGATCTCATTATGAACTATATGAAGAGGTCAGTGCACACTCCGTCGCCTCCATGCATGTTAATATCGTAACATGCTTGTATGTACATATAGGTGCTGAGTGGTTGATTATGTAGTTGGGTGATTTCCATTATTACACTGACTCCAAAAACAGGCCCCATGCTCATGACTGAATTTACTGGGGTAATCAGTGTTGTTAACTGTGTGTTTGTGTGAATAATAATGGAGTAGCTGTTTGAGGCTAACCACTGTGATTCTGCTTTGGCATACGTGCCTGTGTTCCCCATCAGCACGCTTATCTTACACATGCACACAAGCAGATATAGTGTCCACTTTTACTGTCAGCTTCATCTGATTGTATCGGTCTTCCTAAATGTTGTGCTTGGCTGGATCCAATAGACTGCAGTGAGCAGTGGAGGAAATGCATGTGACCAGAGTGAGACATGCAACTATTTGCTTTAGAAATGATTTCAGTTTCATGTGTGGTAATGATGGTGTATTCTGTCTTTCATAATCAGTACTGAACCTCATGTGGAAATCAAAATTAATTTTCTCCTTTAGACCTGATAATGAGGTAGGTGTTTGTGTGCGATTAGTGTTAAATGTGAATCAGCAGAGTATAAAATATTATTTTGCTAAATTTGTATTCTCCATAGTTTTATAAAAATGCAGTTCATTCCAAAAATTACTTTAATAACTTTTCTGTGATTAAACATGTTTTCAATTTCTGATTTTGAATTTTTTTTTTATTTAGTCGTGCTTGAAAGTAATGGTGTTATAAATAGTTTGATCTTTTTTTTATACTACAATTATATTATTTTTTCAACAACAAAATATTATTCATATATGAAACACTTTTGAAAAAAAGTTAAAAATTATATTTAAAAATATTAAATTATATATATATTATACATATAACAGTTTTAATAAGAAATATTGAATATCAGGTGAGTTATATATACAGTATATATATATATATATATATATATATATATATATATATATACAGTATATATATATATATATATATTAGTGCTGTCAAATGATTAATCATGATTAATCGCATCCGAAATGTTTATTTATTGTGTAAATATAAATACACACACATACAGTATATATTTCAAAAATATTTCCATGTATATACATTTAAATTTTATATATTATATATAAATATATTTCATATATAAACATAACATATATTTTTTAAATATATACATGCATGTGTTTGTATTTATATATACATAATAAATAGACACAGTAAAAGTAAAAACAGTGTTTTTTATTTTTTAATTATCAGATATGTTGACTTTGATATGTTGACTTCTTAGTCATAACTCAGAAATTCACGATATTTAAAAAAAAAAAAAAACACAACAAAAATACATTAATATGACTTTTGTGGAAATATGAAAATAATTTAACAGTTATTTTGTATTCAAAGTGAATAAAAAGTATCAGTCATTTTTACATGATGGTTACACCACCTTTTCATTTTAGAGTCAGAACAATTTGCAGAAAATGGTAACCATATATATAAACATATCAAATTATTAATTATACAAAAATGTATGAAATAAAGATGAATGCAAATATTAGATTTCTATTAGATTTCTAAAAATTTGCCATCTTGTTTGTAACTTTTTTTGGACCCATATTGATATTAAAAACATTTCCATTTGACCAACACCTTTTCCATGTAATGAAAGTGAATTAAGATTCCCGAGAGCCAGTGTGAGAGCAGTGTAAATCTGATCTGGAGTGTCTGGAACACTGGAGGGCACTGTGGTTCTGTCAAGTCAACCTTCACACCTTCAGCACCGCGCTTCCCAAGCTTCAATGAAGAGTCCCCTTTGTGTACTGAAGGAAGCCACCACACAACTTCAGAAACATAAGGATTAAAAAGTTTGCTCTTAAATCACAGATGTAATCTCAACAGCACAAGTGTGTACGAGATGCTTACAGACGGAGTCTGTCTGTGTTACATGCGTGTGGGTGCCGAGAGATGTCAAAAATGCAAATGCACAAATCAGGTAAACTCATTGACAATGACAACCAACATTCCCTGGAGACTCAATCGCTTTTTGTTTTTTAGTCACGGTAGCAGGAATGATATGTATTGAGGGGAGGGGGACATTAAAGCACTGGTATTTCAAAGCCCTTTTTATCCAATGATCTTTTTATCCAAATATCTTGAGATGTTCATTTTTACAAGAGTTGCACACTGAGATGTAGATGCTTTATTTGAATATTTGTACACTCCCCCTTTAGGCCTACTTCCTTGAGATAGCTTTTTAGTAGAGGTAAGGTTAGGCCTAGTATCTATCAGGAGTCTTTCCTCAACAAATCTTTGCTTTTGAGTTAATAGTTAAAGACAACAAATTGTTCTTATTATTACCCACAATTGTCAACATTTTTTGTCTCTCCCTTTTTAAGCTTGTGACTGATTTCCTGCCTTCTAATGCCCGGTTCAGACTACACGATTTTAGCCCGATTTTGCCACGATTTGCTTGACGTAGGGTGTCGTGGGGATTCGTAAATGACAATGGGCGTCGGGACGCAAGATTCCATCGTATCAGCTCGTGTAGTGTGTCATAGTGGACGACAACCGATTCCACGTCTGCAATGCTTCACTACATCACGACAGAAAGACTAGCATGTTTAAGTTTTTTTCCGAGTTCTGTCACATTGGTGACGTTGACCAATAGCAGCACAGAAGCTCTTTCATACACAGGTTTCAAACATGGCAAAACGGAAGAGAGATGATGGTGCTGCTAGGTGGAATCGAATGCGACTGTCACGCGCATTTTGATAGTAAAGCCGGTTCTGCAATCAGCAGGAAATCATCATCACGTGACATGAGACAGCAGGAGCCAATAGTATTTGAGGGTAGACTATAAATGAGTATGTTATTGATTTTATTTACTGAACAATATGCCTCCTTCACCAAACAAATTGGTATTTTGATTCAGTCTCAGTAAACAAAATGGATAATGTAGGGGAGAGCGGGGCACAAAGTAACACTTTTTGACTTTCTTAAATTGTGTAAATCCACATGGGGTTCAGAGTATAATTTTATAATCCACAGTAATTTCACACTTGTCTAGTACAAATATATTGCTTTGTTTCATAATTACAGTGTATACGTTTTTCTTTATTTACCCTCAAAAATTGGAAGTGAATTGTGACAAAATGCCCCATAAGTGGGGTACATTGTAACATCTGAGGGGCACGTTGTAACATAACCATATAACAGCTTAAAATGTTATCTGATCGCATGAAAAAAATATACAAGACAAGCTAAAATATTTTGTCAATAAAATAAAATAATAATTTATTTCAAATAAAATAATGGCGTTTTTTAAGAATGAAAAATAATCTGATTTTGGAGTTTGACAATGAACACATTGCAACCATGCTTGGGACGGCCCACATAAATGAGCCAAAATGCTTTACATATAAAATAATGTTTGTTTCTCGTCGTTTATCATTAAAATGTATTAAAGTAAATAGTGTGAGTTACGTCGCTAATGTCATAGAATAGCACGGCAGGGCACATTGTAACACAGTGTTACAACATACCCCATCTGCGCAACTGGAATTTAAAACCGGGTACTGTCTTCTGATAGTTAGCGAAGCATTAAAAAATAATTTTAACTGATAAATAACAGATTGGAGATTAAAATAATAGCAGATATGTTTCATTTTAAATGAGTAATAAAAACTGAGATGAAAAATTTACTTAAGCCAGAAATATAATTTTACTATGGTAAAATAAATGTTCAGCGATATCTTCAAAATACTTTTGAATTTTGGCGCACTTTTTTTCTCTATATAATGTTGATATAGTAACTAGTAAATGCTGTAAATTTGGTTATGCTAGCATGTGTCAAAATATTTAAACCACGTGCGTTACAACTAACTTACTTTGTGCCCCGCGCTCCCCTACAGGAGGGGTACATTCATGGACTGACCGAGAACCGGACATGTTGTTCGTTACGTCCCTCATATGAAATACGAATTGGTTGAGTGAATGATACAACTCATTTATAATGCACAAAAGGCCACTTCCTTTTCTATGGAGCCCCTTTAAAAAAAAAGTAAATCATGCTCTACTTCCTGTCCGCATTCTCATAAAACAGTGTGGATGCCTCTCACTTAAAATGATGCACAAATTCTTATTTGATGCGCAAATTATATCGAGTGCACAATTTACTTAAAATTAGGGAACGAATTAGTAAATTGTGTGGACGATTTACTTTTTACCCCTGCATGTCATTTCACTTTTTGCCACCTGCTGGCGTGATTCGCGTGGATAAAGAGAAAGAGCAATAGAACTAATTAGTGAATTAATTAATCTTTTTTTTTTTGGTGAACTGGTTTCAAATCTAAGCCTCTACTAAACCAGGCATTGCCTAACTTTCTCAACCGAGGAGTTCTCCATCCAGACTCTTGTTCAACTCAAAAACCTCATGACATATAAATAGCAACATTTAACATTTTAAAATTAATTCATTGCATTACTTGTAATTAAAATATTTATGTGTCTCAATCCTTGGTTGAAAGAACATAAAAAATATGAGGAAGCTGAAGTAAGAATATGTCAATCAATAATTCGCTTAGAAAAGCATTTATTTGATGTCCATCTGTTAGAGCTTTATTGTAGAGATCATATTTGACATTAGGTTTTATAATGAAAAAGAGCATGCTGTTAAAACACACTTCAGTCAGAGCAGATGCCATGTTTTATTTGATGTGATGCGAGGGACAGAAGTACAGCATGTTCAATGTTTTTACATGTTGTGAACCTGACAAACTTTAAATATTTATTTCGCTTGACAAAACACATTATTTTAAATGTGTCAGATATGATGTGTAATAAATTGGAATTGCATACAAGCACACTTTTATGCTGCGTTAGCATGCAAAAATGTCTACATACTTAATCTTATTCGAAGTAGATACTTTTGGATGAGACGTTGCATCAATGCATGGATGAGTCTGTTATGATATGTCTATCTCCATCTGTTTTCATGCGTGTGTGAGAGAGACAGAATTAATTTGTGACATTTATATGTGTGTGAGGGACAAACAAAAACAGCAAGTGTCAGAGAGAATGGCAATGTACCCATGTTGTTATGTGTTTCTTTCTGACAGAGCCCATCTGCACCAAGGCATTGTCTTCATTCTGCTGTAAAGATGAGTTCTTGGCTGCTTGCTGTGTCATGGCATTTCAACACCATCAAAAAATCATTACAGATCAGAGAGGAACAGGAAGATAGACATGTCAGATGTTAGACATACATTATGTCACACAGGTAATATATCTACAACATTTTATGTTCACACAAACTGCATACTTGCATTACGAACAGTTGGACGGAACATAATGTACATTTATAGGAGCTTTAACTCCCATACAGCATATCTAGAGATGCTCATCACACTCTAGATTCATCTGATTGGTCTATTGTTATACAACCGATATTGATCTGCAGTTTTCAGTTTTTTCTTGACCCAGCGTCTTACATGCTGCAAAATACAGCAAGATTCAGGGCTAACCTTACATTAATGATATGATGATGATGATGGGCCTTTCAAAATGGCTTATGCTTCATACTAGTGGTCTTTAAATGGGTGTTTAAATAAGAACTACAAATTTAGGTTCCTGGAAATGTGACTTAAAGGCATGAGATCTTAAAGAGGTAGTGCATGTTTAGACCTGGCACATTTACAATGCAAAAAAACAGTACCCCAAACACAAACCACAAATAAAGGTGCAAAAACTTTCCAAACTTACAGGGGTTTTGTCACCGTTTACTTACTCTCATGTCTTTGATTCTGTGGGATACAAAAGAAGATATGAGAATTCATGTACAGTGAAAGTCAATGGGGTACAAAATATTTATAAAAAAAAAAATAAAATTGTTTAAATAAAAAATACAATTGTACAGGTTTGGAGCTACATATTGTGAATATTTTTTTATTTAAATTTTTGGATGAACTATCCCTTTAAGTTTGAATGCAGTTTTGGCACAATGGGAACAAATTAGTTATTATTGTATATTTTATGAAAGTATAAATAGGCAGAAGTAAAGATTTACAGCTATGAATGGCTTTAGAAGAGTTGGATTTGGACTGTTTTTTGGTACTCTATGCCAGTTTTTTTGTCCTTGAAGCCACCTTTCCACTGACATTCGCATATGATTATTGTCAACGTGTACCATACTCATTTCACCCCCCCCAGTGGCAGTCACATGGAACTTGCAAACTGGTCAAGAATCAACTGTTACGTCCTCTTATTCACCTTGTGTTAAATTAATGGATTAACTCTTTTTGAAAGAATTTACTGATTTTACTCTTTTTTTATCACACTGCTTTAGTACAAAAATTTAGGTAATTCTAATGCTCTTATTTTTGATTAGAATGCATCATACCCGGTTGGGTGTTAAGATACGGCATAGCTGCAAAAGTTCAATAATTCAAGCTTAAACTGGATCTGAAAATTCTGCATATGCGTTTAGTTGAAACTCCATGCAGTTTTTGTACTACCCTACTTTGGAAATGAATTAAATGACTTCCAGTCTATCATTTTTTGGTTGTCTGAGAAAGGCAGTTGTTTGTCAAGTAAAATATTTTTGAATACACTATTCCTTTCTAAAATAAGCTTGAAACAAATAATCAAATACTTGCAGGTCTTTAACTTAAAACACTGTTTGATTTAGTGATGATTACATGGCGGTTCTGAATCTACGAATCCGCCAGGTCTTTCTGATGGAACTCCTAAAGTTTCAGTATGTGCCGGTGCTTTGAACATACAACACCCCCCTCCGGACATGTTGTTCGTTACGTCCCTCATATGAAATACGAATTGGTTGAGTGAATGATACAACTCATTTATAATGCACAAAAGGCCACTTCCTTTTCTACGGAGCCCCTTTAAAAAAAAGTAAATCATGCTCTACTTCCTGTCCGCATTCTCATAAAACAGTGTACATGGAACTTGCAAACTGGTCAAGAATCAACTGTTACGTCCTCTTATTCACCTTGTGTTAAATTAATGAATTAACTCTTTTTGAAAGAATTTACTGATTTTACTCTTTTTTTATCACACTGCTTTAGTACAAAAATTTAGGTAATTCTAATGCTCTTATTTTTGATTAGAATGCATCATACCCGGTTGGGTGTTAAGATACGGCATAGCTGCAAAAGTTCAATAATTCAAGCTTAAACTGGATCTGAAAATTCTGCATATGCGTTTAGTTGAAACTCCATGCAGTTTTTGTACTACCCTACTTTGGAAATGAATTAAATGACTTCCAGTCTATCATTTTTTGGTTGTCTGAGAAAGGCAGTTGTTTGTCAAGTAAAATATTTTTGAATACACTATTCCTTTCTAAAATAAGCTTGAAACAAATAATCAAATACTTGCAGGTCTTTAACTTAAAACACTGTTTGATTTAGTGATGATTACATGGCGGTTCTGAATCTACGAATCCGCCAGGTCTTTCTGATGGAACTCCTAAAGTTTCAGTATGTGCCGGTGCTTTGAACATACAACACCCCCCTCCCCTGCACTATAATTTGTTTAGATGTTGATTTATGAACTAATTGCCTATAATTGCTTCTTAGCACCACTATTAATCCATGATGTGTGGTTCCAGGAGCACATTAGTCTGGATTTGTATAATGAAGTAATTAGTTCAATTATAGAAGAAATAAAAGGAAGGAAAAAGGATGAGGAGGGGGTACATATTTTTTAGAAAAAGAGAAGCACTTAAATGATAAGAGAGATGATGCCAGTGTGTGTGAGACATATTTTGCTTGCGCGTGAGCTCATTTCCTGCTGCATTGCTCATCTCGCTGAATTAGTTCCTTCTGTACCTTTCAGCGCTCTCTCCCGTGTGTTTTCATTGCCATCCTCGCCCAGTCTATCCTGTCTCTCTGAGGTTGACGTACAGACTGCATTGTCTGCAGGCATTGTCATTGTTATTAGCCTTGTGGATTGCTTCAGGGGGTATGTGCAAGCTCAGGGGAGAAGGAGCCAGGCTGGATAATTAGTTTTTCCTCAATGCCAGACGAGCGCGCCGCCACTGTCGCGGACTGGAAACAGGAAGTGCAAAGATTGTCAAGGCAACAGCAGCCAGGCTGCATTCCAGCGCAGCCTCCCCTACATTCCCGTCAAAACACTGACAGGACAATGGCAGCGGTCTCGATGGAGGTAACAGATTGCTGTCATTATGTTCTGTCAGGTGCTTTATTGCAGAAACATCTTTATGAGAAGCAGTGGGAACTGAAGGTGTCGACGTGTGCGACTGTCTAACTGTAGTTTTAATAGCACACTGGAAGAGATAACAGACACTTTGAGGCAAGTATCATTGGTCATAATCAGCCATCAAAGGCACATTTAATATTGTGTTTCATACTGATGAACATGGCTTCATTAGTGTCCTGAACATCCGTTACTCGGTCTGCGTGTGTCCTCTGGGTGGCGTATCTCTGATGATGTCACAACACTGAGAAGGGGACAGCGACGGGGTTGATACTCTGCCTTGGATTTGGTTCTGTTGCCATGGGATACATATATGCTAATAAGCAAGACGGCCACGCTTATGAGTACTGCGCCAGCAAATCCAAGCAGGAGGCCGTAAAGTAGAGGCCATACTCTGTCTAGCAGATGAGGCTGATAAGGTGGTACTGGTTGCCTTTTCACCACCAAGTCCACGTCTTTCCAGGTGAACCCTTTGGCTGTCAAGCAATCAGAAACAATTGTTGGCTTGATTAATTTATTTTGGATAAGTTACAGTTGCTTACAGACAACTATATTTTATATGACTCTTACGTTGACAGTTTAAGTAATTTAAGTACTTTATGTTGTGTTTGCAAAGGTAGTACACACACACACACACACACACACATATATATATATATATATATATATATATATAGAAACAATAAAGACAGAAAAGACT